GGCAGTGACCAAACCAACCTGCAGCACTCACTGCGTGCTGTCAGCCTTCAATTAGCAACCCAAAATTCAGCTCAGGTTTCTGCCTGCCTTGGGCTCGCCATTAATCAGGATTCAGGTAATTCACTTTAAAAGTCCAATAACCTACAATTAATGCTACCTTTACTACGAATCCATTGTAATTTTTCCTACTTATTTCTGAGTATATTTTTGGCTGTAATACTGTCACAGAGAGACAAATGCAGAAAGATGACACTATTTGCCTAGGAGAGTGCAACAGCTCCCAGCATCTATCGATCCTGGCTGGCTCCTAATGCAGCACGGGAGTGCACAGGAAAGGACGGTAGAATGACCTCCAGCATTCATTCCTCCAAAAGAACCAGAGGTAAAACAAAAAGAGAAGCGTCAATTTCCAAAAGAATTACTTTGGAATTGGACATTAAGTGGGCATAGTCTGTAAGTCACACATAATTAGATAACCGTGGGGCAATTGCTACGACTTTGCTTTATTTCCATATCTCAGGACAGAATCTTGAAGTAGAGATAGATAAAGAGGGATGGGTGGCTTTAAGCACATCAAGGAGTGCCTTCACTGGGTTACTCTAAGATTTGGGTTCAAGCTGAGTGGTACTTGTTGCATGTACAATCAAGTCTGATTTATATTTCTTCTTGTAAATTATCATTTCTTTTCCACGTTCTCCTTTGTGCCATTGCACATCACGGCAGTATGAAACCACAAACTTTCTGAAATAAGACACTGGATCCCTCCCACAGACTGCATCCTCTTCCTCAGTTAAAATAAGTAAATAATTAAGAATAAAAAGGAAAAACAACTACTTAGCATTGCTCTGCAGGTGCACAGTGTTATGTCCTTCAGTTTCTTCACAGGACACAGCAGAAGCGCGATGCATTGATTTGATGGCAGGGAAACCAGTCCAAATACAGAATTAGTGTGCTTATTCTCTTTGGCAAAAACACAGTATTTGATTAGAATAAGTTCTGACCAAAATCTCAAGCTTTACAGATTAAATAAATTCTGAGGTCGCCCTAATAAACACTTTCTTTAACAAATCCTTCACCATTCCTTTTAGTCAAGCTAATAACTTCCCTGTGGAAGCAGTGTTTAGAGAGCTCCCATCAGACAAGAAATCAAGATAAATGATTGACACCAACAACTATTACATTACTTGGATAAACAGCAGTGGCACTGCAAAGTCACACACATCCTCTGAAGGTGGCCATTCCTTGAGCCTCTCCTGCAAAGGTCAGGGATCTGCTCAGGCTCTGGAGCTGGGCTCAGCCCCCAGGGATGCCCAGGGACTGGGCTGCACTGATTGCAATACTGTTCTGATCAGTAAAATAAAAGCTTCTTTTCATCAACAGCTAATCATAGGACTTCGTTCATCTGCCTTGACAGATGAGAACACAATAATATAAATAAGAAATGACATTTTACCAAAGAAGGTTAACATAAGGTCACAACATTTTTCGTTTGACTTCTGTAGCTTACTCATGTGTGAAAAGATGCATTTGTAGCTCCAGCCTCAGCACGCTTTACAGATCTGAGCTTGTGCTGATAGGTGAGCTTAAAAATGGTATTAACGTTTAGAAAATAACATTTTTGCTTTTTTTTGTGATGCTTGAGTAAAATTGTTTCAGGTTGATATACAATACAGATAGAGAATACTATATGTATCACAGAATACCATGTAGGAATCAAGGTTACTTCTGCCCAAGAAATGAGGAGCTATTGCACAAAGATGGAGCCAATTTCTGCATACAAATATGTGTTTTTCCTCCCATACTCAGACCAAGCTACAACTTTCTGAGCAAATTCCCTCACTGACATCAGCCAGGCTGCCCCCAGAAATATTGAATGCTGCTACAGATGCATTGGACACAGAATAAGGTCTTCAGCCATGTACTAATAAATGTCAAATATTAATTTATTGTAAGATGCAGAGATTTAAATCCAAATCCTCTTTCATCATTAATTTCAACAGGCTGTGTGAAGAGTGAGAGGCAAGCATGAGCTTTATGTCAAAATCCGTAATGCCTATGTGACTATCTGCCAAAAAATATTTCTCTGTCAAATAAGAAAACTTAAGTTCTGTCCATAAAGACTGGAGATTAAAGGTGCATTACAACATGTAGTTAATTAGTCTTGAAAGGCTAATCAGCTCACCACTTTGGTTGGCATTTCCATATAGATGCACATGCCTTCATCTTACTGTAACTGCCTATTAATGCCAGTAGCCCTCACTGAAATAAGATGTTACATACCGTATATGAATCACATATCATTCCATAAGAGACCACAACCAGTAAGAAACATTCCTTACAAGTTTTGCAAGGGGCACAGCATGGGGTACCCTGGGTTGTGGGACCCTTTCCCATACAGCTTTTATAGAAAGAACCACCCCAAGGCTAGGTTTGCTCAATCCTAACTGCAACAAGCTTTTTTTTTTTTTATTTTTTATTTAAGGATGATGCTTGTTTGTACCGTTGTCTTGTTGATATTCATGTAGCCTTGTGTCCTGTGGACACCTTTGATGGCAAGGAAGGTAGAGATGCTGAGCGTCTCAACTCCTATTAACTGCCCACTGTCAGATTCGGCTCTTGAGTTTCCTAACACAGCTCACAAAAAGCAGCTATTATTGACTAATCAGTAATACAATTCATTATGTTGCCAGATTAGTGAGTTTTTATTCACCATTCTCCTCCTCAATGTTAAACAGCTACAAATAGCTAACAACATTTCTTTTTTTTTTTTTTTTTTTTTTTTTTTTTTCTGGTAGTAATTTCCTGACATCTTTTCTTTCTGTCAGATGGATGCTCTATTTTGTTTCTGAAAAACAAGATCAATCTTTGCACTAATAATGACCTACTGAATAAAACCTACACTTCTTCCATGAGCTTTTGTAACAGTATGCCTTGTTTGTACTCCGGCTGACAAAAAACCCACACTCTACAGCAATTGATCATTTCAGTTACCAGTGAAATAAAACCAACCACGAGACAGATAATGGGAGCAGAACAATAGAGCGCAGCCATTTAATGCTACAGTTTAGACTAAGAGCTGACATAAAGCACAGCAAAGCTATAAAAAAGAATGTAACTATCCAGAATGACTATCAGCCTTCTTCCCCCCCAAAACCAACCTGAGAAACTGCTTTGCCCTCATCTGCAAAAAGAGCCCTTTGAGGACTGTAGAACCATTGCATCAATAAAGCACCAAGTCCTGAGAGATCAGCACCTTCCAGCAACATGCACAGTATTTTTGGGAGCTCGTGTTTCCCTCAACCTCTGAGTCACTTACATTGCTAAATCTGATGGCTACGAGTTTGCTGAAAGTGCCTTGCTGCAAGTACAGCCATATGCTCCTTGTTGTTACCTGCACCACAAAAGTTCAGGTGCAATTATCATCACTGCTGCATTCCCCTTGATCTATGACTTGAGCGGCTTCAGCTCATTGCACGTTTCCATTTTTGTTAGAAGGTTTCAAACAGAGGCTTCAAAATGGCTAACAGTACTTTCTTCTCCCATTCCTATGTAACACATGAATCAAGTATTTCTAGCTCTGAGTTTTTACAGAATGCCAAAATAACAGAATTTGAAGACTATCTTAAGAATAGCAGATTCGTACAGAGGAACACTAATCTAACTGATACAAACCCATGTTAACTGAAGCAGTACTCTCACACGCTGAACAACTAGGATTACAATGAACAGGACCCTTGCTTTTGAAAATTACAAGTTTTGGTAAACTTTTAAGCAGATCTGCAGTCAGTATTCATCAACGAACAGAGCCATACACTGGCTCACAGGAGCATCACCAATTGGCCACCAAGAGGGCAAGGGAAGACTGAGCTGAAGTAGCAGGGATCTGGGAATCATGCGTACTATTTCTAGCTTCAGCACTCAAAAGACCAAAAAGAAAGCACCAAGGACCATAGTGAAAAACTATGATAACGAAATAATGTATAAATAATAAAAACAAATAAATAAAATACATTGTCAAGCTCAATATTGAATGATAGCTTACCTTGCAAGATATTTCTACAAAACTTCTTGAGGAAAGAAAAGGAGTGGAGATGGATAATCATAAAATTAAAATAAGGAGTGTGACCACAGGTAAGAAATACATTGCTTTGCAACAAGTCCTAAGGAACATGTTAAAGGGCAATAGTAAAACGAAATCATGGAGGAAAGGAATTTGCGAGATGTGCAACAGGAAAAGTCAGAGGCTTCTTGTAAAGAGATAACACGGCTCACAAAAACGTACCTAACATCTCTCCTCTCGAGAAAAATCAGAAAATTATTATTACATAGATATATAATGATTGTAGATAAATATAAAATGACTGCAGATTGACTGCAGATTAACAGATCCAATGGGCTTTTTTTTACATCCACTCCATGTTTACCAATATGACTTTAGTGAATCCTTAAGCATTCTAACATAAGCTTACGTGATGTTTCAGTTTTACAGAAAGTCAAACCTTTGAATAAGAACAAATGTTACCCCATAATGCAGAAACTGGGTTCCTATTTTCCTTAGGAAGAAGACAAATGGGTTTATGTAGCATGTGATTTTAAATCCTTTTTTATTCTGTTAATCTCTAGCTGTGGAATTGTGATTGAAATGCAAAAATGTATATGTATTTTCTGATAAGACCCATTTTGTTTTAGAGACACAAAATGCTATAAAACATACACACTTTCTTCAGGTTTTTAAAACTGATGATGGAAATTCCATAATCAGAACATGGCACAACCAATCCAGGTTAAGCGATAACCATTTTTCAAAAGAAAAAAAACACAACCCTTTGAAGTGTTCTTAGAGTTATATCCTTATAATCCAGACACGAGACGATCGGTATTCTTAACAGCTCTGAATGCACACTCTTGAGCTGGCTCCAGATAAAAGCTAGCACTTCTATTTCTTTTCCAATACCTTCTGTGATTCCTCACTAGCTGTAAGGCACAGGACAGCACATTACCTCCACATGATTTCCCATCTTCCCCCAGTTTCTGGCCAGCTGGACATTTGCAGTGGTAGCTGCCAATGGTGTTACAGCATTGGTCCTGACAGCCTCCGTTCTCAGTGCTGCACTCGTTTACATCTGTCAGTAAAAAGATCAGGTGGTCAGTAAAAGGGGCTGTGATCAGATTCTATATGCTTATTTAAGAACAACTGCATATGATTTTGGTTCTACAGAATGAGAAAGTTACTGAGAAATAAATAAGGACCCTTCTGGTCATCTCTACTCCCATCTGTGATACTGTGCCCCACAATTCAACCCGCAATGGGAGAAACTTTCCTCCTTTGCTTGAGTGCAAGTTGCAAAGTCAACCAGCATTCAGGTTAGAGAACAAAAGAACTGGGAGGAGGATGATTAAGCAACAGAAGGTAAGCAATATTTTGACTGTACAAATGGAAGCAATTACATCATTGAGAGACCCTCTGCAACACCAATAGGGAAATGTGGATTTTTTTTCTCCCTTTTTTTCTTTGTTTTAATTTTTAAATCTAACTGGATTTTGTCCAAAAGAAAAACAAAGTTACGTTAAAAAAATAAATCAAGAAAGAATGAATTTCCTATATGTACCCTAGAGAAACAGCAGTCAACAACTGCTTTCAACAGCAGTCCTTAGCTGCTAATGACTAAGGTTTACCAAGGCTTGTTCTTTGAAGAGCTTGAGATCAATTTTACTAATTGGCTTAAGATTTTGGTTAAAAATCAAAGAGTTAAAAGAAATTTTAAGGAATGCTTCAGATTATTCAAAACCAAACAAACAAACATACAAAGAAACATCAACATTTGACAATGTGGATTGGGACCAGCATAAGCTCAAAGACCTCATTACTCTACAGCTCTAAATTCAGTGCGATGCAGTAAAACTTTCTTCATCCCCAGTGACACTGGCAGGCTACATTAAAAAATATTCAGTTATGTCAGAGCTACACAACAACCCAAAGCTTATCTCACACAAAGCCAGCAAAGATGCTCTCAATTTGGTGATTTAGAGAGAAAATTTTCTGAAGAAAAACACTCCACACCCCGAAACACAAAAAACAAACCGTACCAAAATAAGACATTCGTCTGTTTGCTTCTCAGCAAGAAGCTGGGAGAACATATGACAAGTGACAGATCTCAGTCCTGTTCCTCAAAGCACAGGAAGAAGGCACGGCAGCGCCGAGCATCGCGCAGAGGGCTGGCAAAGCGGACGTGTTCTAAGTGATTTTCTCCTTCTGAATAACACACATCTCAATACGCCTCGTGGTAATAAACAGTGATAAGCTGCACAGTAACCCCACTCCACATCTTAAGCACTAATAGTGCTGAAAACTAGTAAAATCTCTTATTCTTTCTTTTGCAAACAAAATTATGCAAGGAACTCATGTTTTCTAGTTCAGCATCCACAGTACCACATGATCTCCTAGCATAAAATATTGACATAAACATTACATCGTGTGGTCTACCAAACACAACCCAACTGATTAGCACCAATATACAACTGGGAAAATACCAATATTTTCATCCAAAGCACTGAAAGTAAACCTTTCCAGATGAGTAATCATTATCCCCTTGATTTCACAATAATAACTTACATGGAAGTGTATGGTGCTGTTGCACATTAATGTACAAAATGTTTTTCCTCCTGATTGCCACACATTTTCGTTCTCAATCAGGAATCTTCTTATTAAGCATTAAAACCTGTGACCCATCTGGACATTTTGCCCCAGTAGCAGCACTTGCTGTCCTAACTAACAAACTCCTCTTCTTCCATCTCTTTCTCATCCTGTGTCCCTTATTTCCTTCTCTCTGCCCCAATATTTGTTTTCTTCACTGCTTTATACACCAAGTATCTACTGCTTTTTATATTATATGATTACAGAATTGTCAGTTAAAAAAAAAAAAAGAGGGAAAGAAAAAAGGAAAAGACGACAACAATTCTGTCAAATGATAAATTTCTGTCTGCTTTCCATGTTCAATGTCATTCAAGGTTGCAAATATGTTTGCCTTTTGGATAGCAAGAAAAACGACAGGAAATTTCTGACATGTAACAAGTCTGCCAAGGCTGGGGCTGACGAAAGTTCAATGTTATCAGGACTATCAATCCATCTGTAATGACATGCTGTAGGCACCTCAGAAAAATAAATGTGATGCTTTCTACTGCTATTTTTCACATTTATTTATAGATCCAATGTTGCAACACAAAAACGTTATCCATGGGATGTGCTCCATGTGAGCTTTCAATCCTGCAGTGGGAAGTCTTATAGAAAAAAGAAATTAAAAAGAGCAAACATCTGGATGATCTTAATATTAACTTGCACGTGACATCTGCCACACGTGGAGAAAAAAATGATGTTGCATTTTAAATCAGCAGCATTCATGGATGGAGATTGTAGGCATATCCCTTTGTCCCATACTCCCAATGTGAGGCATTACAGAACTGCCCTACATATAAATGGATTTATTTGTTCAAAAATCTCAAATATTTGATATCTTCACAGTCGAGGAGCATGTCTGTTTGTCTTGAAACGGATCACTTTTGCTCAAATAAATATACGTAAGAGCCATGTGCTGAACAGAGAAGGGCTGATCCCAATAGCCATCTGCTTTCCTGCTGGATGCCACTGTCCCACAGTACCCCAAAGCAGAGCAAACCTGAAACATGCCCAGCTCCAGAGAAAACGAACTTTCACCAAGGTTTTAGGTAAGTTGAGATGACTCAAGATTTCCCACAAATAAATACAAATTTTATATAAATGCAGGCATTGGACAAGAAGTTTATCATCAGTAATTCCAAATTTAGACCTAACAGAGGTGATCTGCAGTATTACTAACTGTGCCCTGCACACCTCTACTGTGTATGGGCTGCTGAGCTGCAACAGCACAGAGTTCAGCATCTTCCACAGCAACGAGGTACAAAGCCTGCCCTGCCTGCAGGGATGGAGGCTTGCTCAAGGTCTGCACCAGGCAGGGAAAGCCCTGCAAGCACTGCAGCACAAAATCAATGTACTGAATGAGAGTGTAAGTATATCTAGTGCAACTTAAACGCACCTATTTGAGTATCTTACGATAGACAAGTGCCTGGTACATGAACAAAGAAGTACATTGGCATGCATGCTGTTTGTTTCACAAGGAGGTGCAACAGGCGAGTGCCTCCAAATTATAATGCACACTTGACAACTTTTCATTTACAGATCTAAATAATTCGATTCCAGTTTTGAAAGAGCTAAGAGATGCAGAGAATGCGTAACTCCACAAGGCTTTAGACACTGCTTTTAAAACTACAGCCCAGATGGTCTGCCACCAAAACCATATGTCTGAATAAATCCTGAAGCCTGGGAAAGTTGATTTGAACTTTATAGGCCACTCTGTGCTGTGACATCGCACAGTTCATGTGAACACAGACGCAACACAGCATCGTTACACACAGAGTGCACAATGCTCACGCCCAGCTCCTGCATCTCTCTTTTTCTTCATTTCATGCAAGATCTATATAACAGTCAGCTTTGGACAGTAATTGTCTTGAAAACATAAATTACATCCATCACTTCCAGCACAAACTATAGATTATCATCTGAATAGAAAACAATGCTGCTCATTCTGATAGCCAGGCGCGGTTCTACACGTGTATTGATTAAGCACTCTTATGCTTTATTAGGTTTCCTTTCTCCACAAAGTCAATAACTGGAGGAATAGTTCTTCTTGTGCTGTTATGAAGTACTGTAAATCTGAGCTGTTATTAACAAGCTCCCGACTAGTAGAGCAAACATCTCTGAGTTTGGCACAGACTTTTCTCCAGCCAGCTCTCAGAGAGCTTCTCTCATTGCCACCTTATCCCCCAGCTGTCAAACCTGTGCTTCCACCAGTTAGCACCTCCTTTTATACAGACATCTTTTTTTCCCTTTCTCAGAGAAAAATTACTGCTGCATGCATTCCTCTCCAGCCCTTTGTCACATTCTTATACACAGAGAGCATCAACCATCCAATTTATCTGCTGTGCTCGTGGCCCACCCTTCCCCAGGGAGGTGGATCCTTGAAGAGCTTGCTTGCCTTTGTTACTGCATCATTAAAAAAAACCCTGATCTCAGGAAATCTTGATGTGAAACCAAACAAAAAAATAAATAAATAAAACTCCTTGTTAGACATACATCAACAGTATTAATTTTTTCTTATTAAAATGATAGCTGATGATTGAAAAGAGCCAAAAAATGCAGCAGTGCTCTGCCCTTGCATGCATCAATAAGTCCTTTAAAATCAGAATAAAAACTGGCAAAAGGGAAAAAAACCCACCAACCTTAGAGTTTAAATAGCAAGTTAAAGAACAGCTTTAAAAAAGCAAGGCACTGGCCAGGGCTGCTGTGCTGGGCTCAACCTGCCGTTAATCTGGTGCAAGATCAGGAAATGTTCAGCGTGTGCTCTGAGATGGAGAAGGCCCACTCCAACACCTGCTCTCAGGACTAAATCCTGTAACCTGGCATTTAATAGTCCTTCCAAATCTTACTGCTTATCCTCCAAAACCACACACACGGCTGGTCTCTTTCACTCTCTTTTTTCCTTCTCATGTTCCTAAGCTTCAATGCTATTTTGCAACAATAACTTCCAAACCAAACTATTGGGTGAAAAAAAAAAAAACACTGCTTGGATTTTTTTTCATCCCACTTCATGAAATTGCCTTTAGCACGAGCAGCGACTTCCTCAAAGTTAACTGAAGGACCTACATGAAGTTTTCTACACCAACAGGAATGACTACAACGAAAGGAAAAAAGCCCATCGGTACAATGGAATCCCATAATAGTACTCATTTTTAACTTCAATTTTGCACACGAGGTATGAATAATGAAACCGAACATCTCAGAACACCTGAATTAAGCAACAACAGACTAACGACTGCTAATTGGATGTGATTGGAGATGATTGTGGAGCACAACTAGAGCTATGATTACAAACAGAGCACCCAGCCCAAACCGCGAGTAGCACTGCTGCAATTAAAGATATTTTATCAAATTAGACAAGAGTTTGCCTTCCCCTGCTATGACAGTTATGAGCAAAACATAAAAGAAAGCCTAATTTGCTGTAATGTATCTTTTCTTACAGCAGAGCTCTTC